AAGCCTCAACTTGCTTTAAGGAGAGGGGACATATGGGGATTTTTTTTTCGAAGTAAGATGGGTCGTTTGGAATTATAAGATCACATGATATGATTAGTTAATTTAAAATCAAACGTAATAAATAACACCTCTCTAATCAACCTAGCCACACCGTGCGTGTGCTAATACATTTTTTTTTTACAAAGATCATAATTTTAATTAAAATTTCATTTTTCGTGCCCATGGATATTAATTTCTATTTAAATAAATCATTGAGACTTTGGGTTATATTTTGAAACATATTTCATATGTATAAATATACATGAAATTATCTCATATTTATCCCAAAATTAAAGTATTTCTACAAGATAATACATTAGCATAGAATATAAGAATCACAAGAGAAGGAAGGTCCTGAGTAGTTCTGGATTTTGGACCAAAGACTTCATTGTCAAATTCCATTGGACTAGAATCATATGAGAATAGAATTTTGGGATATCAATGTCATTTCACTATCGCATTCAATTCGTGGTAATCAAGAAAAATCAATATATATTATAAGGTTTGTATTATATTTTATACAGCATCCATCATTGTATCGGACATATATTTTTTTCCAACAAATATGCTTACTTTTATAAATAATGACATATGTTAAAAATGATATATACAAAAATACGATAAATCTCATATAAGTATGATTTTTTGTTAAGACATTATAACGAACCAAACAACCTAACCATTAATATGTCTTAATCTCACATAAAAATTTTTGATTATCGAATATATAAACTAGAAGATTTATATCATGTAAAACTTTTAGAAATCTATTCACCAATGATAGACATGAATAATCTTTTACTTTCATACTCAATGTTATGCTTTAAAAATCATCGCGAACAAAAATTTGAAAATTCAGTATATATGTATCTTTGTGAAAAAAATAATAGTTCAATTTATAACAAACGCGTGAACATAACTTATATTAAATGTTGTTTAAAGCTCTAAATTTACCTAGCAATAATATGGCTCATCTATTTACCGATGATAGACATGAATAATCTTTTACTTTCATACTCAATGTTATGCTTTAAAAATCATCGCGAACAAAAATTTGAAAATTCAGTATATATGTATTTTTGTGAAAAAAATAATAGTTCAATTTATAACAAACGCGCCTCTGAATATAATTTATATTAAATGTTGTTTAAAGCTCTAAATTTACCTAGCAATAATATGGCTCGAGGGTGTAATTTGTAAAAATTATGAATATATATCATTGTTAAAGAATAGTAGCTCTTCTTTTGGGCAATTATGGTGATAATATTCATAACCAGCATCTCTAGAACTGTCCTCGTATAGAGATATGAAGCTATTCATAGAATATAAGCATATTATGCCCCCAATAAGTTTTGTTTGGGCAATATCGAAAAAAAAAAAAAAGATTTTTAATTTTTTTTTTTAATGTTCACCACAAAGCTACACTTTTTAAGAGGAAAAAGTGGCACGAGTCAAAAGGATTTAGACCCCTAAAGCCAAAATGTTAAGCAATCATTATGTCTGCAAATTCAGCTTTCTTAGACAAAATTAATTTAAATAGTAAAAAATATATCTAATACATTGGAAAAATAGAACTTTAGCCAGTCCCAGTTAAAGTGGAGAATGTCATAGACCCATATATGATTTGATGAAGAATGTAATTAAGAATTGTTTGCAAAAAGGTAGAATTTAGAATGTTTTTGTCTGCCCTCACATTCTCTTTTGCTGGTGGCATCATGGCCATTGATAAGGAATAAGGTGCATTCATGATCATATATACCATATTCAGGTTGGCACACTTTATTTTCCCATGGCAATTGGTATAATCATGATGTATGCTTATGGGATGATGGATGTTGGCTCATGCCTACTATTCCAAATACTTTAGAACATATAATAGGGATTTAATTGTTAACAAAACGAGCTGCTCGTGAGTTCGACTTTGCTCGTCAAGGCTCGAGTTTAGATCGGCTCGTTGTCAAGCTTGTTTGATATATGGTCGTTTAGTTAATAAGCAGAAGGTCCGAAATATGAATTTTATGTAATTTTTATGACCTGACTCGTTAGTATTAATAATCGAGTAGAGCTCGTAAAGCTAACAATCGAGCCTCCGAGCTCGAGCTCAAATCTTTAGCAAAACGAGTTGCTCGTGAGATCGACGTAGCTTGTCAGGGCTCGAGTTTAGATTGGTTCGTTATCAAGTTTGTTTGATAGTCGCTTAATTAACGAGCACGAGGCTCGAAATATGAATTGAATTCTTGGTAGTATTGATAATCAAGCATAGCTTGTAAATTTAACGAGGTGAGTATGCGAGCTCGAGCTCAACTTTTCTATACCCCTAAGTAAGAATGGAATTCTCATGCCTTGTAAATCACCGTGCATGAATATCTTGCCAAAATCATTCAGAATTAATCGTCTCTCTCTCTCATTCTCTTCAATATTGTAAAACTTTCTTACTTTGTTTTCTCTTAGGAATATCTATATGCTTGATTTATTTTCTTTCTTGCTCAATTTTCCAGCTTTCAACCTCATGTTTTCAACTCTCAAAATTTTACATGAGTCTCTTGGGAATACCTTTTGCTCTTTTTATTCTCTAATATCATTCATTTTTCTACAAACTGAAGGAAGATAATTTTTTCAAATACATAATAAGAGAATAACTAAAATATGAAAAGTTAAAGAAAATTTCTCGTTTCCCTTCAAGCATTTATTTTATGTTACTTTTATTTCAAAAAACACAAAAATAATAAATAAATATTATTTTGATGAATGTTAAATTCAATTTTTTTATACTATACATTATCTCTAATTTCCAGTCATATTAATAATTGTTATTTTAGTAATCTTATCCTATATCAAATCTAACTTTCATCCAAAATATCTTATTTCATAACCTTCAAAATAGTTATTATTTTTTCTCACTTTCTTTTGCATAAATAAGCTGGCCAAGTTTGTTTGGATACCTGCAAGCCCAAATATATTGGGCCATGTCGTGATTGAGCTTGATAATAGTTACTTGGAGTCTAGGAATACGGGCCTTGTACTCAGGGTTATTATGTCTTGTTTAGTTTAGTTCCAACTTCCAACGTTATTTGTTCACATCTTCAAATGGAAATGTAGGAAATTTATTGATTATTTACCGAGTATTAATGTCCATTGCTAAGAGTTTAATGTCTGATAATGATTTACATGTACACTAGTTATTACGTTAATTCGTTATAATAATTTAGGATTTAATTCTTCGTGTTGTTTGTTGGTGTATTTCTATGTAGGCCCTGTTTGTTTTTTAGCTTTTTCATGTGAAAAGAATTTTTTCATCTATTTTAGTTGTTTGACTTTTTTAATCAGCTGAAAGAAATGTTTGGTAAATAGCTATTACAAATAGCTTTTTGGGACAATCAGCCAATTTAAAAAACGCTGCTTAGAGCAGCATTTTGATTCAGCTTTTCTT